GTTCCCCCGGTTTTTTACTATTTAAAGTAACTTTGTGGTATTCCTCCATGTTGAGCTGATAACAGAAAGGTTGCTGTTCGAATGCACCAACTGCTTTGGAGGAGAAGGATAGTGTCCTGTAAAGATGTGTAACCTGGGAAGCCCAGTGGAGGGTTACCATGAGTCAGAACTGGCTGCATGGCCATTGGGTTGGTTTTGATTTACTCCTTAGGGAAACTGAGGCTCAGGAGGTTTGTGTACAATGGTAGAACCAGCATTCCTCTCCCATTTTTTAACAAAATAATAAGGTAAATGTTTTGTGAAAGCCCCTCAATAAAGCTAACCCAGAGGAAGATGATGAGTTTAGTTATTAGGGCTCTCTCCCAGCCTCATGCACAGTTCCTCAACCACAGGATTCTTATCTTTCACTTAGTGATTTTCAGCCTGGGATCTCCGACTAGGTGAGCAGGCATCAGCAACCAGGCCGAGGGTGGGTGGGACATGGGTGGCCTGAGTTGCACATCAGCATTAGGGTTGGACGTCAGACCACAGGTGAGTGGGGTGTATGTGTCTATGTTCAGTATCGGGATGAGCTGAGCACAAAGTCACTTAGAAATCTGTGTCTTTGGCCGAGAACTTCTGCTATTATCTAATGGCCAGACTAGCATATCCTGTTATAAAGAGTTTCACAGGATGCCCTGCTTTACCTCATTAGGTTAAAATGCTGCTTGAAATAAGAATGCGGTTGGCTTCCATCCACAGTCTTTTGTTTCTGAGTTTTGTGGGAGCAGAATCTTTAACTATTAGGAAGTGTAAAAATGTAGTTTGTTTTTTCCAAAGTTGACAGACACTCGTCCATTCTCTCAGGAACCCGATTTGTGAGTCATCACTCGTAACCGTGGCGCTTTGGGACACACGAGTGTCAGCCTGCACTTCCTCAGGAAGGCCAGCGTGTGTGGGCTTATGCACTGTTTACCTGATCCTTGTTTTTCCTTCTCTTACAGTATTGAGAGACATCAGCGAGAGAGGACGGGACCTTGAGCAGATTTTATCACAGTACATTACCTTCGTCAAGCCTGCCTTTGAGGAATTCTGCTTGCCAGTGAGTTGTTTTTTCAGCTTGTTTGGTCAAATGTAGAGTTTAAAATTTGATGACATACAAACGAAGAAGGTCTGTAGATCGGCCAATCCTCCTAGCTTGAACCTTGGAAATTCGGAGGGGTGGGGTGGGGGGAAGCAGCCTTTGGCACTTTGTCTTCTGCAAGCTCTGTCCTGCCATTCTGGCTTGGCATAGGCCTTTAGGATCCTTCTAGACGATAGGTTATCCAATACCCAGCCAGGACTACCCTTCTTGCTTGATGGGATCATGGTGGGTGTAAGACCCTTTCATGAGGGTATGTTCTGTCTGAGGCTGGCACTCTTTCTGGATCTTCTAAAGGTCTGTGAAGGTTGGTGTGTTAGTGCAGGGTAACTGTAGCACAAGGTGGCCCCTTCGTGTATATCTTCTGCCACTCCATACAGGTTTGATCTTGTTTCAGCTCTTGTATAAATTCTCATTTAAGAGGAGGCATTATAATACGGAATAAGCTTCTCTTCTCCCTCCCTGGCACAGACTCGCCCATCCTCCATGTGATGGCAGAGAATTCTTGGGGGCTTTCAGAGAAGAAAGGAGAGGAAGCAGAGAATTCTCAGGTTTTAGTGTATCAGCCCTCAGTTCAGGAAATACCCTCTGTTTCCTGAGGAAGACAGACGAATACTGAGAATGGCTGCAACTGATATATGTCACTTAATGGGGTAGAGTAGCGTGAAGTTGTAGGGAATAGCTTAGATTTAAGCCAAAAACCAAAAATTGAGACCTCACGCTCATTGCCATTGTGTCAGAACTGACTTACTTGTAGCTGAGCCTCTGCTGGGTTTCCAAGGCTGGAAGTCATGTGGAGGAAATTGCCCATCCTTTTCCCAAGGAGCTTTTGGTGGATTTGAACTGTCAAACAAGTGCAGCCTTTGGGTTAGCAGCGTAACTCCCTATTGTCTAGGCCATTTGAGCCTCTGTAGTTTTTTTAACTTGGATAAATCCTACACTTGTAACACTATCTCAATTTTGGCCGACTCGCAGCCCCTGTAATAACGTAGTGATTAATCAGTGAGTCAGTCTATTTGAGGGAGAGATTGAGGCTTAACCAGGTTGTGGCTAACTGTCTTTTGGGGTTGTGGAATCTGAAGGCAGAGGCTTGTTTAAAACTGAGACTGAGAATGGGACTTTTTCTATTTATCCAACAATTTCTTTTTTTTCTGCAAAAGTATGGCCACCAGCTGCTTTTGTTTGTTCAGCCTGTTAGTAGGTTTTGCTTTATACTAGACCAGGGACAGGTGACCTTTCGGAGTCAGCCTGAATTAACCTTGATGGCCCTTTTCTTTCCCTTGGAAGGATTGGGGCCTAAGGAGCCAGAAATTCTGTCTATGTGCCTAGCCAACCACCTGTCTGGCTCTTATGAACGTAACTCTAATATTGAAAACAAAATCATGATGGAATCCCAATTCTTTGCTTAGAATTCTGGTTTGTGTTTACTTACTATTGCTCAGCTGCTCAGAGCTCAGGAATGACTACTGACTGCTTCATGCCCATGTAACCCCCAAACTCTTTGAGCTTTATAAATAATTGCCTGCTTGATCCGGGTTGAGTGTGGGCCTGATACAGTTTTGTTTCAACAGTTCTTTTGTGAAAACATCACAGAGTAAGGATGTCCACCGCAAACATAAGGAAGGCATTGCTTGTATTCCATATTAGGACAGAGTTGTTTGTTGAATAGTCCGCAGAAACTCAGCCATTTACAATAAGCTTGTTTTTAATCACTATAATTTTACTTGTTAACTAGTATTATAACAAAGTCAGTGAAAATAGACATCATTTTATTGTTTCATGCCACTGAGTAACCCACAACTCATAGCAGCCCTATGTACAGTAGCTCTGAACCCTGCCCTATCCTGAGCCAGTCTCACTGACTCCAGCATACCTAAGCCCATTGCCCCAGTGAGTGTGTCAATCCATCTCATCTGGGGTCTTCCTCTCCTGTGTTGTCCCTTCACCCTTCCAAGCATGATATCCTTCTCCAAGGACTAGTCCCTCCTGGCCATGTGCCCAAAGAGTGAGATGGAGCTTTAAAATCCTTGACTCCAAGAAAAACTTGATTTCACCCTCTCCAGGACAGACAATACTATTTGTTCTTCTGGCAGTCCATGGTATGTTCAGTACTCTTCTCCAGCACCACAACTGAAAGGCATCAGTTCTACTTCTGTCATCCTTAGTTACTATCCAGCTCTCTGATGCATAGCAAGTAATTGTGAAGGTCATGGCCTTAATCAAGCACACCTTAGTCTGTAGACTGACACCATTGCTTTTAGCACTTTGGAGAAGTCGCTGACAGCAGACTTACTCAGTGCAATTTATCTTTTGACTTTCTGACTGCTGGTGCCAAGAATGTTGATTGTGGAGCTGAGCAAGCTGAAATTGTTAAGTCGCAATCTCTTCTCTGTTCAGCTTGGTGCTGCCAGTTGACTCAGTGGTGAGAATTTTTTGTCTTCTTGATACTGAACTTCAATCCATATTGAAGACTGCAGTCCCTGACCTGCAGCAAACGCTTCAGGTCCTTCTCATTTTCTGCAAGCAAGGTTGTATCATCTGAATAAAGTAGGTTGTTGAGGAATCTTCCTCCGGTTGTTTCGTGTGGGTGTTACCCTTGTCCTACGACTGAATATCATCTTTTAGCCTGCCTAGAAAACGAAGGTGAACTGTGTATGTTTAGTTTCAAACTCTTTTTTGTGCACATTATAAGTTGTAACCATGCTGACTGTTAATAACACCAAATTTAAGTATATCAGAAGAACTCAGGAAAAAGCAAATTTACTGTATAAGACCATGATTCTAAAAAAAATTTTTTTTAAAGTTAACACATAAGTGTAATCATTCTTGGATTATTTCCAGGGGAGGGGGAGAGCAGTAACAATTGAAAATAGATTCTTATACATAGGAATGAAGGGAAAGGCTGGATACAATAAAGACGATGATCAGACATTCTGAATGTTGTTGTTAGGTGCCATCAAGTCAACTATGATTCTTGTGACCCTTTGAACAGCAGATCTGAATCCTGTCTTATCTTGTGCCATCTTCTCACTTTCTGACACACTAGAGCCTGTTGCGGCAATCACTTTGTCAATCCACCTGGTCCAGGGTCTTCTTTGCCTTCACCAACCCTCCACCCTTCCAAGCATTATGTCCCTCCTAGGAATAGCTACAACATGCTTGAAGTACACTTGAAGCTTCACTATCCTTGCTTCCAGAGAGTGCTCTGGCTATACCCTGTCTAAGATAATGTTGTTGGTTTTTTGGCCTTCCGTGAGATGTTCCATATTCTTCTCCAGCACCACAACTCAAAGGCATTGCTTCTCCTTCTGTCATTCGTATTTACTGTCCAGCATAGGAAGTGATTGGAAAGAGCATGGCCTAAATCTGACACACCTTAATCCTCTATCTGACATCTTTATTCCTCAATTATTTGGAGAGATCTCTAACTGCGGACTTTCCCAGTGCAGAGCATCTCCTTATTTTCTGACTGCTGATACCAAGTGTGTTAATTGTGGCTCCAAGTATGATGAAGTTGTTGACAGTTTCAGCCTATTCTTGATCTATAATGATTTTGCCTGTTGGTCCAGTTGTAAGAATCTTTGTTTTCCTGACATTGAGATGTAGTCCGTATTGAAGGCTTCGTTCCTTGATCTTCTGCAATAAATGCTTCTAGTCCTCCTCACTTTTCAGCAAGCAGTATTGTGTCATCTGCATAACACAGGTTATTAATGAGTCTCCCTCCGATCCTGATGCCATATTCCTCTTCATAGAGTCCAACTTCTTGGATAATTTGCTCAGCATACAGATTGAATAGGTATTGAGAGTGAATATAACCCTGGCACACTTCCTTGTTAATTTTAAACCACACAGTGTTTCCCTGCTCTGTTGGCACAGCAACCCCCTGCCTGCTCCAGGTAAAGATTCTGCATGAGCACATTAAATGTTCTGGACTCCCATTCTTCTCAATGTCAGTCACAACTTGTTATGATCCACACAAACACCTTTGCATAGTCAATAAGACATTCATCTAGTATTCTCTATTTTAAGCCAGGATTCATCTGACATTAGCAGTGATATCTATAGTGCCACGGCCTCTTCTAAATCCTGCTTAAACTTCTGGCAGTTCTCTATCTATGTACTGTTCTAGCCATTTTTTAATTATCTTCAGCAATATTTTGCTTGCATATGATATTAATGATATTGCTTGATAGTTTGCACATTCTGTTGGATCACTTTTCTTGGGAGTGTGAACAAATATGGACCTCTTCCAATTTGTTGGCCAGACAGCTGCCCTCCAAATTTCCTGGCAGTAGACTGGTGAGTGCATCCAAGGCTGTATCTGTTAATTGAGACAAGTCAGTTGGTATCCCTGAGTCCTTATTTTTTGCCAGTGCCTTCAATTGAAGCTTTTACCACCTTCATCCATAGACAATTCCGTGGTCAGTTCTTTTTGGGACAGTGATTCTATGTATTTTCTCCATCTTCATCTGATCCTTTCTGGGTCATTTAATATATTGCCCATAGCATCTTTAAATAAGTTTTCCCCTTTTTTTTGGGGGGGGGGGGCTTCTCCACACTCCAGTGCAATTTTCAGTCTCTTCTGAAATCCATTTAGGTTTTTGTCTTTCTTCTCTGTCTTTATCATGATGTTTTGCTCCCTTCATGGATGGATCCATCAGCAGTGATATCCCTGGTACCTTGGCTTCTTTTAAATCCTGCTTGAACTTCTGGCAGTTTGAACACCTCATTTGGTCTTCAGTCATTGGTGTTTAGTGCCTCAAACCTATTCCTAAGATGATTTTCCAATTCAGATCGAATACTTTGGAATAATCTTTTGCTTCCTGTGGACTTGTTTTAATTTTCTTCAGCCTCAGTTTGAACTTGCATAGGAGTAATTGGTAATCTACCCCACAGTCTGCCCCTAGCCTCAATTTGACTGCTAATATTGAGCTTCTCCAGTGATTTCTTCCACAGATGTAGTCAATCAGAATCCTGTGCAGCCCATTGGGTGAGATCCATGTGTAATAGTGTTGCTAACTAAATTGGCAGTTTGTTGTGTTGGGAGAACATTATTCTAACCAGTACAGTACGTGTCTTTTAGTTTGCTGTACTGAGAACTTGGGGGTTGTTCTTTTACTGAAAGCTGTGCCACTGGTGTGTCAAATGCCGTAAAAGTTACCTGTTGTGGACAGTTTTAGTAGAGCTCCCAGATTAAAACAGACTCGGAAGCAGGATTGGCCAACCATTTCTTAAGTAACAGGCCTTTGAAAACCCTATGAACAGTAGAGCAATGCAGATAGTTACAGTAGTGTAGTGGTAGGGCCCAGATTGGAAGTCATTGTATTGAGGAAAAACGAAACAATTGCAAACGTTTAATAATTGCAGTAGGGAATGTACATAGCTTAAATGTTGGAAAACTGGAAATTTTTTAAAATGAAATGCAATGCATGACTGTCGACATACTAGGCATTAGTGAGATGAGATGGACCAGCTCTGACCACTTTGAATCAGAAAATGACATGGTATACTATGCTTGGAATGAAAAACAGAAGACTGGTGTTGCATTCATAGTCAGAAAGTTAATTTCAAGTTCTATCCTGAAATACAACGTGAGTGATAGGCTGTCATTCATATGCATGCAAGGAGGCTATCATTCATATGCATACAAGGAAGACCCTTTAATACAATTATTATTCAGATATACACTCCTACATCTGGAAACAAGGAGGAAGAAATTGAGAATTTTTACTAAATTTTGCAGGCCCGAATAGACCAAAAATGCAGTCAAGATGCATTAATGATAATTTGTGACTTGAATGCGAAAGTGGGAAACGGTGAAGAAGGAATAGTAGTTGAAAAATATCGGCTTTGTGATAGAAATGAGGCAGGAAATAGAGTAATGGAGTTGTGTCTTTTTTCAACGATTTATTCATTGCGGATATGCCTCCTTTGGGATTGCAGCACAGCTGCGTACGACGAGGCTACCAGAGCTCCCTTAAAATGTCCATAGTAGATTATAAACTGGATCTGAATTAGGTTCTCATAATTTCTGCATGCCTTTGCTGTGATGTTACAGCAATCTTCTAATTGAGACCTTAAGCTATCACCCCTAGGGGGCAGTAGTATGAAACCTAATCCCTTTCCTATATTGAGGGATGTGGGCCGATTTATCCCTGATCACTTCTGTTAATACGTTGTTAATAATCTTTCTCCACAGACAAAGCAATATGCTGATGTTATTATTCCTAGAGGTGCAGATAATCTAGGTAAGTCCAGAGGGGCATCATCCTGAGGGGGTCAGGAGGAGGGCAGGAAATGACCTCTACCCTTTGTCGGTCACATTTGGGCTGACTTGGCGGAAGCACTATTCTGCTATTAGGAAGCTCTTTCCACCTGATTGGGAGCAGTCATGTGTGCATGGGTCTACCTGTGAAGAGGGCAGACATGAACTTGGCTTTCTCTGGTAGAGATATGCTGTCTTCTGCTGTGATTCCCCAATGAGGGAACTTGGCTATTTGCTGTTAATCTGATTTAGGATGACTAGCAATCAGGGTAACCAGTTAGCACTGAGTGGGTGGAATCATGGTGACTTCCATCCTGTAGGGATGACTATTCCATAGGATTTTCCAAAAGTAGATTTTTCAGACCTTTCTTCCAAGGCAGCTCTGGATGGTGGTGAGTCTGCGTCTTTTCACTTAGAGTTGAGTGCGTTAATGGTGTGCATCACATAGGGAGTCAACCAGCAAGGCAATCTTCTGTAAAGGACACCCTACTCTGCTTCTATGTACATGTTTTGATGTGTCAAACATGCATATCGCTGGAATGACGGAGTTCGTTAATAAATAAGATGGCACCGTTTGTAAAGGCCATTACTGTTTTTGTGTCCATGTTTTAGCCTGTCTAGGAAGCATGCAGGTTTCTGGGTTAGGCGATAGGAAAGAGAGACTTGATCTGTAACATCTTCCCATTCTCTTTCAAATTTTTCCTCCATTGAACAAAAGAAAAATAATGTTGGGGACTACATTTCAGAAATAAATCCTTCAACCCAGGCACATGCCTCTGCTCACAGCTCTGTGTGCGTGCCTCCCTCTGCCTCCCAAGTCGCTAACACTTTGCCTGTCTCTGCCCCACAGTGGCCATCAACCTCATCGTGCAGCACATCCAGGACATCCTGAATGGTGGGCTCTCCAAACGACAGACCAACGGCTATCTCAACGGCTACACCCCTTCACGCAAGAGGCAGGCGTCAGAGTCCAGCAGCCGGCCACATTGACCTCCGCCTTCTGCAGGCCGTCGGCCCCGATCTCAAGGCGACAGGAGGGGGAGGGCTCAGGATGCCCCATGGAACTGTACATATCATTACCTATGAAGTTACTGTATTTAAGAAAACACCATGGAGATGAAATGCCTTGAGGTTGTTTTTCCTCCCCTCCCCTTTTGCTTCCTACCCCCCTCCCCCTTTTGTACTTTGGAACAGCAAGATGAAACAGAACTTGATCTTGAGCTTAAATGAGAAACTGTGCCAACTACTACTGGTGATGCCTAATTATGAATCCAATGTGTAACCAGTTATAAATACATATATATGTATAAATATATATATAAAGGATCTATTTTTGTGTAAATGTACAAATAATGTAAAGCTGTTTGCTATAAGTATTTTGCTGGAGGGCCTGTTTTGGGACCGGAGCTGGAGTTTGACCAAGGCACGAGTGCCCATGGTGTTCAGGTGGGGTTACCGACACCATTGGCCCCAAGCACCTGTGGAACTCTGATGGGGTTTAAAAATTGACACACGTAATGCCAACCCTGTCAGATGCCACCTTTTTGGAAATGGACCTTAGGAATTTGACAATGAGAGATAATCTTATCTTTTGAGTTGAAATTCGGCAAGACCTCAACTCAAAAATCAAACTCAGGGAAGAGGCCCACTGAGGAGAACAAGTCTTGTGTGTTGTGGTTCTTTTTCTCTTTCTTTTCTTTCCTTCTTGCCCCACTTCCCCTGCTGGCTGCCGGGAGAGGGTCGGGGGCTTCCCCCTCACTGTATTATTTCTCAGTCTCTCCAAGGAACCAGAGCTGCCTCTATTTCCTTCCCTGCTGGGACCTCTGGAGATCATTTCCTGATAGAAAAAGAGTGAGGGAATAGAATTGTGCCTGCTGTAACAGCTAAAAGGAGGCCTGGTGACGCCATGGTTCAACACTTGGTCAGTAACTGAAAGGTTGGCAGTTCAAAATCATCAGCTGCACCATGGCAATGTATTCCATGGAGATTACCACTTTGGAAGCCCTTTTGGGCAGTTCCACCGAGACCTGTAGGATTGCCATAGGCTAGAATGTACTTGACGGCCATGAGTGAGTGAGTTTGTAATGGAGCCCTGGTAGCATGATGTGTTGCATTTTGGGCTGCTAACCCAAAGGTCAGCAGTACGAAGCCGTCAGACACTCCGTGGGTGAAAGATAGGCAGTCTGTTCCTGTGAAGACTAATCACCCCCAAATCTTGATGGAGGCTCACCTTAGGTGAGTTAGAACATACTTGACAGTGGTAGGTTGCCTTTGGCTTTTAAAAAGAGGGAGCTCTGGTTTCTTCTGCCAGGAAATAACAAATTCTGTGGGGTATTTCTCATCTTACTGAACAGATGCAGCACCTGGGGTTTGCTTACAGAACTTACAGACATCTGGTTGACCTTTACCAGGAGAACTCTGTGAAGAAGGAGTAATCATTTTTATTCATTGAGGCCTGGGGATTTGCAGCAGTGAGATTAGGGTCCTCTTTGGCAGCAGTTTCACTGGAAGCATCACGATCAGGACTCTTAAACAGCTTTGCTGAGTCACTGCAGTGGCTGCTGGGCGTTAAGGGACTAGCAAGAGAAAGCAAGGTAAAGAAGTTGGGAGCTTGGAGAGCTTTTGAGGTAGGAGAGTTCTGACTTGACTGAGGGCTTCCTCTGGGTGGAAATCTGTGGAGCAAGTGTTGATTCCTGACCAGCTCTTGGTGGTGAGGACTCAACCAGAGGACGTGTGGTTATTGACTGCACTGCAGGAGAGTCATAGCATATTAATTTGCCTGTCATCCTTCTAGTGTATGCCATTGTGTAAAACATTTTACCCTCCCCTGTTTGGATTGCTTCTAGAGCATGTTTGAGCCAAACAAATCTGTGTCTATTCCCCGTAAGCACACAGAATGTTGCCCAGACTCCATACATACCATCCACTTGGATTCCCTTTTCCTGGACTCCGTTTGACCTTAATTAAGTCTGTTTTGGTGTGCCGGGAAGTCACACCTCGACCCCCAATAGAGTGCTGTCACCCCGGAGACAATCAGGAGGCTGTGCACTGACCCACCGGTGTGGCCGCAACAGCCCAGCAGGAGTAAGTGAAGGCTCCCAAGGTGCTTGCTTACTGGGATGAAAGAAGTCTGGAGCGTGTGCTTAAGGGTCAGGCTTTATGAGCTGTGTAGTCATTCCCGGTCGAGTTGAGATGAAGGGTGGATGGTGGCCTGGGTTAGGATCCTGCAGATGCAAGTCCTCAGCCTTCCCGGGGCCTGTCTGCCTGTGGGGGCCTTGGTCCTTCCATGGGCAGCACGTTCAACTCTACTTGAAGCTCCCAGGTGCCAAACCATTTAGTGCCTTGGCTGTCTATCCCACTGCCTTGTAAGATGGATTCTTCACATCTCTGAGCCTTTACTTACGTAGTCGCTTCCTCATCTACCTGTGGTGTTGGGACCAAGCCTTCATCATCTCTGGGTAGGCCACTCCTAGCTGGGAAAGGGCTCCTGATTGGGCTTCCCTGTTCCTGTCAGAACAGTCAGCAAACCATAGTGGTTTGGTTTGAGGCCCTGGGCAGTACTCCCCACGGACGTTTTCCCAGGCTTGCGACAGTGTACCTGGGAGAAGGGAGAGGTGGGAGGATTTATTTACCTCAGCATTCAGTCAGCAATGTGAGAACTTGAGCTTTCTGTAGGAGAAATCCCAGCCTTGTATCTTAAGAACTGTGAGTTTGCAGATTCTACCAGAGAGTCGGGTAGAATAAGTGGACTGCACACTCCACATTTGTCACCAGGTAGTCCTTTACCTTCACGGAGAGGAGACAGTGGGGGAATGTTGGTCATTGTGTATGGGAGTCCCTTGGCCCTGAGCTGCCCAGTGGTGCTTCTCCATCCTCGCCTAGACATTGTCCACAGACCAGCAGCTGAGGAAGGGAAGTCCTGGGTTATGGAAGGCCAGCTGCACAACCCTTTGCTTGAGTGGAACTCCTATCTGACCTTGGTTTTCTATTGGAAAGCCCGAGGACCAATAAAAGCAGAAAAGGGACCCTGTGTTTGAAGGAGACCTTCAAAAAGGCCACGGCTGCAGACTAGGACCTCACAAAGGTCAGGAGGTGGAGCAGAGTTGCCAAAACTAGAAAGATCTCTAATTCACCTTTGCTCAGAACTAACCTAATTACCGTGCAGCCAGCTTCTGGGCCATCATGTGACATTGGCGTCCTGCCTGTCCTGGCTTGAGCCTGAATGCTTGTCTCGGCACCCCGGGTGGGTTGCCAGTCTCTCACTAGGCCACTAGGTCAGGCTGGATGCCGCGGTGTGCATTGGGGAAGCAGGAGCTTCAGCGGGTGGGTTTGTATCTCTCCTTCCTTACTGCCTCGGTGCAGCTTCTTGGATTAGCAGTCTTGGCCTACCTTCACGGCCAGAACTGTTGGAGGGAACTAGATTTTTTTTGCAGGGAAATCTTTCCTCTGCTCTGAGTACTTGGCAATTCCAGGGCCAGAGAACTGGGCTGGATTTGGTGATTAAGATGAGTTCAGAGATGCTGAGGGGCATAGACTTCTAAACACTTGATTCAAAGGTTGGCAGTTTGAGTCCATCCAGAGGCGCCTCGGAAGTAAGGTGGTCTTTCCAAAGAGCAGCTGTTGAAAGCCCTATGGAGCACAGTCCTGTTACATGAGGGGTTGCTGGGAGCCAGAATCGGCCTGATGGCAACTGTGTTCTTTTTGTTAGAGCCCAGCTTTGGGGTTATGGAACAGTGCTTGTCTGCCCTCTTTGCCCTTTCTACATCTCTGGGGACAGAGTAGGGAAACATTCTTGGGTGTCAGACAAAATGAAAGTTAATGGGTTCAGAAAAGCATCTTTGGGGCAAATAGAGTTCAAAGTCCCCTTTAATCTCTTGTGTCTGGGCCTTGTACTGCCTACTTGGTACCCAGGGACTGGCATTCAAGATGAGCTTTTTTGTTGCTCTTAGAGGCAATTGGTTCCTTGCCAGTCCTGCCTGAAAACAGGGTGAATTGCTAAATAAAATCCTTGTATTATTTTGGCCCCCTCCGCTCCCCCATCAGGATGCTTGCTCTCCCCTCTTTCCCCGTCCCCCACCCTGCCCCTGCTCTTGCTTATTTTGTTAGTTATAAAACTGACCACCACTTACATGTACTTTCCTGTAAATAAAAACTGAACAAAAAGATCCAACTCTGGCTGCCTCTGTGGTGCTTGGTCGGGGCACTGAGGCAGGGTGGTGGCTGACGGAAGTGTGTGGGCTTTGCAGTCCTGGGGTAGAAATGTTTCCATAATTCTCCTTCATGGTCATGGGGGTCGTGGAGGGTGTGCCCCACATCTCAGCTGGGCTCACTGCTCACAAGACGAGAACTCAGAACTCACTGTGGTTGAGAACTGCCTCACAGCTGAGCCTCCAGCAGGTTTCCAGGGGCTGGAAATGGCATGCAGAGATTGTCCGTGTTCCTCCTGCTGAGCAATGGGTGGGTTCAAACCACCTGTGTGTGGGTTGGCAATCCCAGACAGAGGACCTTCCTGATTGTCTTTGGGGTGAAAGCCCATCCGAGATTCCTGGAACTTTAAAAAAAGATTAGCTTTTGTGCTTTCGCTCTCTTTTTAACACCAAAGTCCCTGGTGGAGCAAGTCGTTAGTATGTGGCTGGTAATCAGAAAGTGGCAATTTTGAGTTCAACCAGGCACACCTTAGAAGAAAGCCCGGACCATCTACTTCTAAAAAATAAACTCCAGCCATGAAGCTGACTTGAATGAGCTTGCCTTGCTTCAGAACCAAGCCTACAACTGGTTAGACTTGGTACTTTGCCTCAATAAGAGCTGATGTTAACAATTCCTGTTACCCAACGCTTCAAAGCGTGAGTCAGGGCTGATGGAGTGCCTGGCCCCCTGACATCACAGCAGTGGTTGCACAATACAAACTGCTGCTTCTCTTTGATGAGCTTTGTTCTCCCCCCTCCCCTGAGAGCCGCCTCTGGAACTGGGGTTTGACTTGGGCCTTGCCC